GGTGGCCTAGTAGGTGTTAAAAGAAGCCCGTGCTCCCTGAAGAAGAGGACAACTGAAAGGCCTGGGCAGGTAGGAGGTCCCTGGCTTTGCTTGTGAAGTTGGCTAGAGATGGAACATTTGTTATTCACCTCCTGGGGTAAGTGGGAAGGTGAAAGAACCCCTATCACAATAGTTTCTGTCTGTCTCTTTTATAACTTTCTAAATCTTGGATCCCAGCCACAAGTCCTGAGGCACAACAGAGCTTGGTATGTTAGACTCAGATGGAAAGTGTAGGGCTGTGGAAGGGGTAGGGGGCGATGTCCTAGGTCTGGGGTCACTGCTGGATCAGGCTGAGCAACCAGGCAGGCAGGGTGTGACTGACCTGAGTCTGAAGAGTCTCCTCTCTCCCTTGGGGGACAGTTAGCTGCTGAGGCCAAGGGTCCAACTTTGGAGGAAGCAATAGAGTTGGCCGGCGATGGGTGTGCCTGGGCCACCTGGGTGCTATCCCTTTGCTCCAAGGAGCATGCAATGCTACTGTGCTTGGGGTTACCAGGACCACCAAGCGGCCAGGGCTTCTATCCCTGGAGGGGGTTGCCTGGGGCCAGTCACTGACCCTCCTGGTCTCCCTTTGCTTGGGGTGAAGCAGGGAAGACGGTATACTTCCTGCCTGTGGGTTGCAGCCATACCACCCAGCATCATACCTTGATTCCTGGACTGTGTGTGCAGGTAGCCTGCCTGGTGCAAGAAATGTGCTCCATGAAGGAACACCAGCATTGTTATTCCTGCCTGGGGCCCCATTGAAGGGCAGAGCCCAAGCAACAGCCCAGGGGCTGGGTCCTCTCGCAGTGTGGTGGCTGGGAACTGGGCGCAGTCCTAGAGGAGGGCAGGAAGCTTTTCTGACAGCTGCCTGAATCTGCATCTGATGATGACTGCCTTCCAAGGGCAGAGAGTGCCCAGGTACCAGCTGTGGAGCCCTGGGTGTTTGCTGTGGCCACCTCTGGCAGGTATCTGCTGCCCTGGGAGCCCAGGGTTGAGCCCTCCCCCATTTATAGCAGAGAGAGCATGAGTAGGCATCCCAGGTGAATGACAATTACTCAGTGCTGAACTCTCCAGGCCTGCTGGATGTGAGCCTCATGAGCAAAGAGTTGTCCCTGTCCCCTTGAATACTTCATTCTCTGGGCAGATCCATCTCACTGCAGCAGGCAGAGGGGCTCTCAGTGGGCCTCATGTGCCCTCCTGCCCCTCCTAGTGGCCAGTCGCCTTCCCCTTCACCTTTCCCACCACAGGTCTCCTGGGATTTCTCCCCCAGGGAGAGCGCTCTCTGCATCCACGTCCTCTTTCCTCATCTCCCTGTCCCTCCTGGGCACTGCCGCCTGGCATCTACTCTTCAGACCAATCATTGGCTACACAAGCAGCCCTGGTTCCCCTTTCACTTGGTTTAGAACAGTGTTTGTTTCATCTTTATCACACAGACAATACATATTCATGATAGGGAAATTAGAAATACATAGAGGGGCAAAATTCTCTAGTGTATAAACTTTCAGATGTTTCTTTCCCTGTGCATTTTCTTTTTTTTTGGAGACAGAGTCTCACTTTACTGCCTTTGGTAGAGTGCTGTAGCATCACAGCTCGCAGCAACCTCCAATTCTTGGGCTTAGGCGATTCTCTTGCCTCAGCCTCCTGAGCAGCTGGGACTACAGGTGCCCGCCACACCTGGCTACTTTTTTGTTGCAGTTTGGCTGAGGCCGGGTTTGAACCCACCCCCCTCGGTATATGGGGCCAGCGCCCTACTCACTGAGCCACAGGCGCCACCCTCCCTGTGCATTTTTAAGTAAATATATTTTTACTTAAATGATGCCATCCTGCACATCCTGTTTCAAAAGGCACTTTCACTTAATGATGCATGGAAAGCACATATAGTACACAAAGTCACGTTCAGTGCTATATATCGGTATCATTGGTCATAGCTGCACAGTATTTGCTGGAATGGATGGACCATATTAAGTAAAAATACATCTATTGAGCATTTAGATTATTATGAGATTTTCACCCCCTCCTGCGTGTATCTTTGTTGTACTTCTGCAGTTGTGAGAGGCTACCAGGCCCATGGCCTGACCCTTAAGCCCTTGAGACATGCAGAAAGCAGTCCTTGCAAACACTCCTGACAGCATATAAGAGCAGCTGGAAATCTCTTCCTGAACAGAGTTGTGCTGGCGTGTGAGAGGGTGCCTAGGCCCCACTCTTGCTGAGGAGGGTGGGGCCCAGGTACCCTCTGGAAGACTGGAAGACTTGGGGCAACTGTACTAAGGCACCCAGGCCTGAGACTGGCTGTGTGTAGGAGTGGGCTGGCCTGGATGACTGGGCCCTGAGGGAGAAGTAGGGCTCAGCTTGGCAGTAGGAGTTGGGAGGCCATTCCTGGTGTGGGGACCAGCATATACAAAGGCACAGGTATTCCCTTGGCAGGGCCACCTTCTATGGACTCTGAAGGACATGGTTTGCATGGAGCACAGTGTCAACATTTGGGGGAAAGAAGTAGGGTCAGGTGACTGGTAAGTCTGGCCCCAGTCTCAAGGACAGGTGGAAGCATGAGACTGACATGGGCCCAGTGGGACAGGGGCTGATGGATGTTGCTGGGAGGAGGATGGATGAAGGCAGGGGCTGGGACCAGGGCAGAAGTGAGAAGTGACCCTGGCCTGAGCTAAGACTGGTAGAGAGGGGTGGCAAACAGGAGGGAGCAGCCAGCTCCCCAGCTGGAGCATAGATCTGAGCCCCATTTGTTGACCACATCTAGGACTCATCCCTTTACAGAGCGGACTGACTCTCACAGCCTGGAAAGACTACTCAGGCGGAGATCTTTCTGACTTTCTGGCTTCTGAAATGCAGCCAGGAGAGGCAGGCAGTTATCCCTGAGTCCTTTGACTGGGGTCTTCACTGTCAAGATGAGGCCCAAGGTGGTATGGGCCTCTGCTCCCCCTTGCTGGGGGATTTTGCACATGTCCCTGCCCTTTGGCCTGGGAATTGCCAGTGGCCCCTCTGCCTCTGTCATTCACATGCATAAGTCTGTCTTGACTTTGGAAGTGGCTTATTTGGGCCTGATTTGGCAGGAAACTTCTTGGCAACCATTGGGTTTGTCAAGGGGAAACTGATAAGTTTCTGGGTCTAGTGCTGGGCCTGGGATGGAGTTTGCTCCTAATACTGTGGATGACGTTCACCTGCTTGCCAAGTTCGTGTGTAGCCATGGTCCCTGAGGTTTTAGAAAGGAGTATGTCTTTGAGGTGCCCTGCACAAAACAAATTATGCCAACAAGTTGGCCCAGTAATATTAGGAGGACCTTGAAGACCCAGTAATGCCAGCCTTCTCCTATATGTGAGCAGCCGAGGCCATGTGGAGGTGAGGACTCTCCCAAGTTCTCAAAGTCAGTCAACGGCGCCAGAAGACCAAGAGACTAAGATCTCAGGCTTCACAGGCTTGCCCATGTGTCCTGCCTGTGGGGCCGCTGCACAGGCTGCTGGGTTGGGGACAGCTGGGCCTGTGTGGTCCTAGAATCACCCATGGAATGAGCTCCACTTAACAAAACTCTTGATGTTGAGCCCTGGTGCAGGGCTGAGCACATGGGGCTCCCACTGGCAGTGATAAGGTGCTGTTCCTGGCCCACAGCAGACCCGGGCCACCTGAGCTGCTCATTCAGTGCAGTTTATGGACGAGCTAGCTCTTGTTAATGTGGTGAATTTGGTTTGCTCTCAGCTCCCGGCCCTGGCCATTTCAGTGTACGCCTCACCTCCACAGAAACATAGTCTGACCCTGCCAGCTTGTGCCAGGCTGGTCAAACCTAGCCCTGGATGGGCTCTGAGGGGGCCAGGTCCTGGGGATATGTCAGCAGAGCTGGGCCTTGCTTTCCATCATGCCCTTACACCTGAGCCCTCAGCCCCTCTGTCATAGCCATTCAAGGCAATGTCCTGACCCACGACCTGGGCCTCTGTCCCCTTGCAGCTCTGGGTCATTTCCAGCCTGGAGACCTGGCTTCTTCCTCTTGGCAAACAGCCTTCATGGTGCTGTGAAGGCCTCCGAGACCACCACAGCCCATCCCTCACCTGCCATAGGAGCACAGCACCTGGTTCAAGGGCAGACAGATTTAGGCTGGAGAGGAGGCAAGGGAAGAGCAGGGTGAGAAGACAGAGGAAGAAAAATATGAGCACATCCCCACCCTTGCCTGGTTGCTGAGGACCACTAAGAGTCAGTGGTGGGACCCTGGACTTTCCACTAGAGGTGGGGAAAGGAACCAAATATGGCTATATACCCCCAGACCATTTTTGTACTGATTGGGGACCACTGAGTGCCCCTCTCCCAGCAAGGATGAATGGAGAGTCACTGCTCCTGTGTTCCTGTCCAACTTCTCAGTGATCTGTGGTGTACCAGGTGGTGCCAGGCACTTACAGGAACATAGATTCATTTTGTCCTCACAGGAATCCTGAAAAGTAGACTTTACTACCATTTTACTAATGGAGAAACTGACCAAGGCGAGCTGGCCTCTATTTGGAGGATTTTTCCATGATAGCATCCAGGGGGGGCTCTGAGGCATCCTGCAGAGGCTAGCTGACCTGCCCAAAGTCTGTCAGATAACTCCTAGGGAGTGAAAACAGTTGTCTGACCACAAAGCAGAAGGGCTGCAGCCCCACCCTGAGTCCCAGGCCATCTGCCTGTCCTGAAGGTGTTTTTCTCTGAGTGTCACTGTGGATGCTCCCCTGCTGCCTGCTGTTTCCCCGCACTCCCCATCCATTAGTACCCTTCTTTCCCAGGTGGGCAGCCCCAGGCAGACAGGTGGGTGTGCCACTCGCCAGTGGCAGGTCCAGTGAGTGCTTGGTCCCTGGCCTCTGTCTACATCCAGGACTCTGCCAACTCTTGACCCCCAACACCCAAGGGAAAGTCTGGATGATTTTGGTGTGCCAGGAGCCAACTTCATGGTGATCCTCAGCCATTACAAATGCATGAATTGATAAGCATGTACTTCTTTTTGTCCCCAGCAGCCCCATTGAATCAACTGACAAGGGACCTGCAGAATAAGCATCATGAGTATTTCAGCCCTTGGAGGCAGCTCCAAAGGTGAGACCTGAGCTCCCTATTGCCCTGAGCTTGGTGCATGGCTGCCTTCTTCCCAATCTGCCCTGAGAGGGCCACGAGTGCTGGCCAGGCAGCAAAGGGAGAGCAGTGTGTTGGGATGGCTGGAAAGGAGGCCCAAGGACCTAGGGTTGGGGCTTCCCTTCTGAGGCTGTTTCGCCTTGCCCCCGACAGGGAAGCCTCTGCCACCAGGTGAGGAGGAGCGCAATAACGTCCTCAAGCAGATGAAAGTGCGAACCACACTGAAGGGGGACAAGAGCTGGATCACCAAGCAGGATGAATCAGAGGGCCACACCATGTAAGTCTCAGAGGCTGGGAGAGATGGCAGTGATGTGGGAGCTGTAGCCATGGGACCATAGCAATAAGACTATGTATAGGGTAGAGCATCGGAAAGGCCATGGGCTGGGAAAGCCGTCAGGTGCCCAGGAAGGAGATAGCCAGGCAGGAGTGGTGCAGCTTGGCAGGCAGCTTCTGGGATGGAGGCTGCAGGGCGTCTGGTGGCAGGGATCCCAGGAGCCACTCTTTCAGGACCCGTTTTTCCCCCAGAGAGCTGCCCTCAGGCCGGAGTCGTGCCACATCCTTTTCATCAGCTGGGGAGGTCGCCAAGGCCAGGTAAGATGTGGTGCCTAGGTGGCTGGTGGTGGGCCCTAGGGACTCTTCTGTGGCATGGGGCCAACTGTGGAGCAGGGAGAGGTGAGCAGAATGAAGGGGACAGGGCCAGGAAGGGAGCCCGAGCCAAGAAGAGAGATAGATGAAGGGGCTATGGTGAGTGCTTTGGCGTCCATGGGGAAACGCAGTGCAGGAGTCTAGGACACTGGCCTTGCTGTGTGCTGTGGGGCCAGCTGACCACTTGCTGGGCCTACATGGTTCTAGCTGTCAACTGAGATCAATGCTCTCAATAAGAAGAAGACTCTTATTTTGAAACTTGTCCCTGCAGGGAGCAAGAACATCTCTGAGGCTCTTTGGGCAGCTTCAGGAGTCACAGGGACTCACTTCTGCATGTAGCCCCACCTGCTGAGCACACTTGCAAAGTAGCATGCCAAGGGACATGCGGGTTTGCTCCAGCTGTCTCCTGAGGTCACAGTGATGTCTTTTGTCAGCTGACCAAGGCGAGCTGGCCTCTGTTTGGAGGATTTTTCCATGATAGTCTCCATGGGGGACTCTGGTGGGAGTGTGCGCTGCTGGCGTCCAGAGAAACTGTTTCTGAGAGACAAGGGGACAGGCTTGCGTTTTGCTCCAAACATCTGGCAGGTGGCCTCTTAGGTGGTGGTAGAGGCAGGTGGTGGTAGAGGCAGTGGCAGCAGCCCAAAGGGAGGGCCCCAAGTTCACTGCCGACCTGCCAGGCTGCCTCTGGCGACTATGGTCTTGCCCTCCCTCAAGGATTCAGTACCCACTCCCTGCCAGGTCTTGTGCTGGGCACAGAGGATACAGTAGTGATCAGGACACAGGCCCTATCCTCAGGAAACTGATACCCTAGGGTTCCTGCAAGTTGGCGACCTCCAGGAGACCATCCTCTGTTAAGGACAGACCCCGTGGGGATGGAGAATGCTGGGGTTCTGTATTGTCCTCAGGCCTGAGTCCTGCTGCTCCAGCTGAAAGGCCCTGGACTTCTGGACAGGGGAACCATCTACCTTGTTCTCAACTTCTCACCCACCCATGAGGAAAACTCTTTAGAAGGGCCTTTATCATGTGCCCCCAAGTCCACAACTGATTGGACCTCACCGCCAGCTCCTTGACTGCGTCCCTTGGCTCCCTTGAATTCTCTGAGCCCCCTCAGGTGCTGCCTAGGAGGTCACAGTACCACAGCCTTCTATTTTCCAGCCAGGGACCAAGCCCTGGCTATACCCCTTGATCTCAAACCTCCATCAAGACTTGGGATGTGTGGGCAGCACCTGTGGCTCAAAAGGGTAGGGCGCCGGTCCCATATGCCAGAGGTGGCAGGTTCAAACCCAGCTCTGGCCAAAAACAAAAAAAAAAAAAAAAAAAAAGACTTGGGATGTGGCATCCAAGGGCCAGAGGAGTGGGAAGGGAGGCCATCAGCCCTTGGCTGGCAGGTGCTTGCCTCTTCCCCTCTGGGCCTTAAGTGCCTTCCTGGAGGAGGCTGTGGCAGGGGCAGGTCAGGGGCCTCAGGGGAGCATGAGGGAGAGAGGGGGAGCACAGTGGGCACTTGGTTCAGGGAGTGGGGGTGGTTGGCACCAATCCTTTCTGCTGCCCTGGGACATCCACCAGCCAAGCCCCTTGCTGTTGGGGACAAGATGAAGTAGGCCTCACCTCACCCCTCCCTCCTCTCTGGCAGGCCTCTGAGCACAAGGGCTCCCACTGGCTACATCATCCGGTGAGTGCTCTCAGCACCCCATCTGCCTCCCTGTGCCCACCCAGGTCAGCCCTGCCTTCCTAGTCTTCTCACCTCTGGGGAGCTCACCGGACTTTCTGGACTCTTTTTCAGGGGTGTGTTCACCAAGCCCATTGACAGCTCGTCCCTGCCCCAGCAGCACTTCCCTACAGCCGATGGAGCTCCGAAAAGGTTGTCTGTAGGGTGCCTTCTGGTGGGCCAGTAAGGAAGTGGGAGGGCCTGGCTTGTGCTCTGCCTTCCAGGGCCATGGGGGTGAGAGGATATGGGGTGGGGTGGGGCTGGCCGTCCTGGGCAGATGTGTGGGCCCCTGGGAGGCCCTGGGCCACTGACAGTGCCCTTGCTCTAAGACCAGTCCCAACAGCCCTGGTCACTGGGGCAGAGAAGTACAGAAGACTGGGAGAGGCTGGGCCCAAGGTTGCCCTGGCCTGGCCCCTGCCACCCTTGCCGTGCTGATGGCATTGAGCTATGTGCTGCAGTCTACCTTCTTCCCATACAAGCACTTTGGGGTCAGGCTGAGCCCAGCCTATGTCAGAAAGGAAAGGACAAGGGGATTGAGAGACAGAAAGCAAAGACACAGGCAGGAGCCTGCTGGGCTGTTCCCTTGAGGTGCAGTTAGGACTGTCCTGCTCAGGGTGGTGCAGTGCTGGGTGTCTGGCAGGGCTGAAAGCAAAGAGGAAAGGCTCCCAGGAGCCCCTGCTCTACATGTCACATGCCTGATGGGATGGGTAGGCATATATGGAGGCAAGAGGGGCCTACAGGTGGGCACATGGAAACTTCTTGCCTTTCCAGAGTGGCCGGTCTGGTGAGAGCCGCTAGTACCGGCTGCCCCCGCCCCTCATACTCTGGGTACAAGATGACCACTGAGGATTACAAGAAGCTGTGAGTATGTGATGCCTGACCTCCTCCTCCAAGGAATGCTTCCCTCCTCCAAGGAATAAGCCCAAACACTGGGTCCTTGGAGATAGCTGGCCTAGGGAGAGCTGGTCCTACTGGCCTGTCCCCCAGCCCCACTGGTTGTGGCCATGGCCTGAAACCCACCAGAGAGCACCAAGTCCCCCAAATTGGCCTTGTGAGCCTGAAGAGGGGGCTTTGGGTCACAGCCCTGGGGCCACTCTTGGCCAGCCTTGGGATCTCCTCTTGGGCTGGGCCTCCCTGGCCACCTGTTGATGTGGACATTTTGTGCCTAAGTCAGAGCTGCTTCTTCGATATAAATCTTTGGTGTTCTCCCTGGAGCTACCCTTGAGGTTCTGCTCAAAGGTCCCCTTGCATGCTTAGAGATGGGGGCTCTGGACAGAAGTATGAGTTGTGTCCCATATCTTTCTATCCTTTGTCCCTTGTTCCCATCATCCAGTAATGTGGAACAGCTGGAAAATCCTTCTGGGGAAGGGGTGAGAGTTGAATAGGGCCTTGAGGGGACACTTGGGATTGGAACAGGAAAACTAGCTCTCAAGGAGGAAGGCGCAAAGGCCCATAGGCAGTTACACTAATGTCAGTCAGCCAAGCTGCTGAGAGTGGCAGATGTGACAGGGACTCATATGTCCCCTCCCACAGGGCGCCCTACAATGTGCGGCGTAGCTCAACATCAGGGGATGCTGAGGAGGAGGAGGGGCCCTTCTTTCTGGATGAGCAGAAACGGAGGTAAATGTGTCCTCTGGGCGGGGCAGGGTCTTCACTGACTGCTGAAACGAACTGGGTCAGTTGAGGTGACAGAGTGCACATGTAGGCCATCAGCAGTGGCCTGTGGGGTATGGGAATAGGTGTCATTCTGTGAGTCAGTTCTAGGCCAGCTCCAGGGCCTCTTCGGAGCCTTCCATGGGGTACAACCTGGGAGAAGCTGCCTACACAGCGGCCTCTGTGTGTTTGCAATGTGTACAGAGTCCTGGTGGCCTCACGTGCCTCAGAGACGGGCTGGACTGCACAGTCCTGAATGCCTCCCCATCCACGTAGGCAAGCAGAGTTTCTTGAACCTGAAGGGATAAACGCCTCATCTGTCACTCCCTGCTTGTTGCATACCTTCTGTCCAAGGGGATAGACCTCACACCACCCATGCCAGTAAGCTGTGACGAGGAGGGATCACTGAGTCCCTTTTGTATGCCTTCAACCCGAGGCCTGGGGGGCAGCTAGGCCCTAAGGAAATAAAGCCCCCATCCCAGATCAGCCTGCCCCTGGCTCCACATGTACCAAGCTGTCTGTGGCTTGCTGGGGGCCCAAGAAGAGTGGCAATCCTCAGGGAAGAGTTCAGAGTGGCAAGGGTCCCCAAGCCCAGTGGCTCAGGAAAAGAACCAGGCCCTCAGGTTGAATGCCTACTGTGCCCCTGCTGGGCAAGTGCCCTCAGGCCAGTCAGGAGCAGTCCCTGGCTTTAGCTTCCTGTCCTGTGAATTGTAGGGGGCAGTATTACCTGCTCTGCTGGACCCATGTGGGGTACACCACATGCTCAGTAAATGTTTCCCCCGGGATGGCCCTGAGGAATCCCATCACTACCCCAAGCTAACTTGACAGTACGTGTCTAGCTTGGCACCCATCACATGCCCTCCGCCCCCATGCTGTCCCAGGTCAGAGGCTGCAAGCAGCGTGCTGAGGAAGACAGCCCCCCGGGAGCACTCCTATGTCCTCTCAGCAGCCAAGAAGAGCACTGGGTGAGTTGCACAGCAGGGACAGCTGGTGAACAGGTAGTGGAGAGATCACCCCAAAGCCCTCCTAGCTGGAATTTCTCCCATTCTCACATGCATATTCTAGAAACTCGGGGGTCTGGCTGTGGCCATCAGGGCAGGTGAAGTGCTAGCAATGGGAGAGAAGCCTAGGACTCCGGGGTAGAGCAGTTGTGCCTGTAAGTGGGCTCCACTCAACATGCCTCTTTTCTGCTTCCTTTCCAGTAGTCCTACCCAGGAGACACAGGCACCGTTTATCGCTAAGAGGTAAGTGTCATCAAGGGAAGCCTCAGAAGCTTGTCACAGACCATGGAAAAGGCCTCCTGCCAGCAGGGGTGTGGTATGGGTAGCTGGGGGGATGGGATGTGAATATGGTATGCCTGCTGTCCCTGAGCGAAAGGCCAGGTGAGCAGCTGGGGTCTATGGTGGCACATGTGAGTCAGTTCTTCCATTAGTCAGTAGTAATGGGGCTGGGTCCCTGGCCCAAGGTGGAGCTTCAGTGTTCCAGGCCCAGGCCCCTCCGAGGCTCTGTAGCAGATGCTAGTGGGCTACAGAGGTGTTGTTCCCTGGCCTCCCCTTGCAGTGCCTAGCTGTGGGCCCACACCAGGAGGAGCCAGCATGCCAACTGATCCAGGGAGAGGCCCAGAGGGCACAAAAGCCCAGAGGTGGAACTAACTTGCTGTGCCAGAAGACCAGAAAGCAGGGGGTGGTGGCAACACAAAGGAAGTGACAGAGACTGGGGCATCCATACTGGCTGTGTTGGGTTCCTGAGGCTTCTATAACAAAGCACTGCAAACCAGGGGGCTGAAAATAGCAGGAAGATATTCTCTTACAATTCTGGAGCCCAGAAGTCTGAGATTGAGGTGACAGCAGGATGAGGCCCTTCTGGAGGCTCTGGGGGAGAAACTGTGGTCCCAGGCCTCTGTCCTCCCTTTTGGCAGTTGTTGAGATCCTGGGTGTTCTGCGGCTTATACCTGCAATGCTTCCAGGCTGTGCCCCTGTCTCCAGAAGAGGGAAATCTGGAGACAGAGTCACAGACTGGTCATTGGATTTAGAGCTCACCCTACCCCAGTATGACCCATCTTCCTGATTACATCTGTAAAGACCCTATTTTCAAATAAGGTCAGGCACAGGTTCCAAAAAGACATGGATTGGTGGGGGACAATATTCAACCCAAGGTCACCCCATGGCCCTGGGCCAGTTAGACACCACTGAAAAGATGTCCTTCAAAGGCCAGCAAGCTCCAAGATGGCCAAAATGACCACAAGTGCCATTTCTCTTCTTGCCCAAAGGGTTGTGCTGGTGGATGAGGACGGGCCTTCTGAGAGGATCCAGGACACGCCTACTCTGGCAAGATCCGCTCCTGGCTTGAGCAGGTAACCAACTGCTGATCTCTGCCTGGGGCTGCTGGCTACCAGGCCTGCCTGCCACTCAGTCACTGTGGAACCTCTGTCAGGCCACCTCTCTGCTGGGCCTCAAGGTCAGTGTCCCCATGTGCCCAGTGACAGGATGGGGCACAGAAATCAGTAAGGGCCTATCTGGCTGGATGTCCCAGGGATGAAAGGAGCACCACAGTTCAGCCTCCAGGGAGCGAGTACCTGCCTCTTGTCTGTTTAGTATTTATCTGTGTCACCTGAATCCTTGCATTACTGAGCTCAGAGGCAGCACAACAAACACCTCAAGAAAAAGTAGCAACCTTGGGGTTTCAGAGGGCTGGCCACCACAGTGGTAGCCTGCCATTGTTATTCTTGCTCCTGGCATTCCTGTAAGTTCACCAGGTTTAAATTGCCTAGGGAGGAGGCTTTACAGGCCCCAGCACTGCTCATAGCTGCTTTTTTGGCAGTGCGGATGGAGGCGGAATCATGGTATCCCTGACGGTTTGGATTGTGCGCCTGCCGCGTGTACCTAGCCCCACTAGGAGCTGGGAGCTTAGGTGGGTGCTGGGAGCTAGCTCTAGACTGTGTGATAGTCCAATGGCTTCCCATCAGCCTGGCCAGCTGGGTCTTCCAGCCAGGAAGGATCTGGCAGTAGGATAACAGGGCAGGGACAAACATAGTGCTGGTGACCTCACTCTGGGCAGGGATGTGATATGCCCTTATTTCTGAGCCCTGAGTGTCCAGGGAAGATAATGGTGCTCTCTTGTTTGTGGATGAAGAGCAATCAATACCTCCTTGTACTTCATGCTGAATTGGTACTATGTCCTGCAGGGAGTGCCACAACCCTATTGTCACTGCTGGTCAAAGCACCTGCCTGGTTTGAGACCTTTGCCCAAATCTAGGTCTGCTAAGAGCTGCACCTCTGTGGCATCTTTGGAAGAGTCTTAAGGCCAGAGGGGGAAATGTCTGTCCCTACAGGTCACTTCCCAGGCCCCAGGGGCCATTCTGGCTCTTCTAATGCCATTGCAACACCTCAACTCGAGCTCTACAACCATTTTTAGACATGCGACCACCATCCTTGGAGTCCCTTCCTCTGTGCCAAGCCCCATCACCAAATACAGTTACATTCTGAGGTACCGAAAGTTAGGACTTCATCATATGACTGTTCGGCTTGCAAGGTAGTCCGTAACAGCATATACTTCTCTTTTGATAAAAGGCAATGCATGGTTTCAGATGCCTTTTAAAAACTACTGTAGGAGGAGAATTAGGTTGTGAAATATTATGGATTTATGAGATATTTTGACATTTGTTCCAGAAAATCCCTTTGGATTTTGAGTACCTATCACACGGCTGCTGTAGTAAGGTGGCTATCTTGGTTGGTCAGGGCTGCCATAGCAAAGTGCCACAAATTGGGTGGTTCAAACCCCATAAACATATTATTTCCCAGTTCTGGATGCTGGAAGCCCAAGATGGAGATGTCAGTTCCTTCTGGGGGCTGTGAGGGAGGGCAGGCTGTGCTCTAGGCCTCTCTCTTCCCCTTGAAGATGGCACCTTGTCCCTGTGTCACCTCACACCGTCTTCCTTCCGTGTGTGTCTCTGTGTACAAATACCCTCTTTTTGTAAGGACACCAGTCATACTGGATTAGGGTCTACCCTAAGCACCTCACTTTAACTTGATCAGCTCTGTAAGGTCTTATCTCTAAAGGTCACACTCTGAGGTACTGGGATTAGGACTCTAACATACAACTTTTGAGGGGACACAATTCAACCTATGATAGCGGCTAAGGAAGGCCTAGACTTTAAAATGTCAGCCTAGAGGAAGTGGGTAGCTGGAGGTGCAATCACAGAGCTGGGAAGAAGTTGTGTTTGGCTCCAGCCATGCTGCACAGTACCATGGCCCACAGATAGGCAGAATCCAGACACCCAAGGAAACACCTGTGTATTCCAAGGGCGACAATAGAAACGGCTCACAGATTGCTGGAGCCACCAATAGTAGTGGGAGAGAAAGGTAAAAAGGAAACACTGCCTGGGGATGGGGAAGTAGAGGAAGGATCTGGGATGATCAGCCTGAAAAAGAACAAACTCGGGGTCACAGGCACCAGCTTTTGGTCCTAGACTGTGCCCTGGTGTGCTGCCTGGCAGAGTAGCTGAGGAGCAATGAGTAAGAGTTTAGCTTTGTCCCGTACTGGCTGTGTGACCTTGAGCAAGTCTCTTTGCCTTTCTCTACCTCAGTTTCCTTGTATGTGAAATGGGGAGAGCAGTAATAGCTCCTTTCTGAGGCTGCCCCAAATACCAAGTGGGACAGTATGCATAAAGCACCTAGGGCAGCTTGCCTGGGTGTCCTTGGGTGTTCCTGATCCAATACAGGAGGGGACCAGTATCGCCACCTGCTGGCACCTGTGGGAAATGTGGCTACAGGCCTGAGAAAAATGATGCCTTCCTCCCTCTCCCCTCTTCTGGTAGGATGGGTCACATACTCTTTAGTAAAGGCACTGTCACTTGAATTTCCACAGGTGACTAGGGTCACATTGGATATGCACTGATCAGTTCTGGGCCTGAAGCTTCAGAAGACGCTGGGCTCTATGTTCTCTTAGTATCTTCCAAGAGTGTGCAGCCTTCCAGAATGTTTCTGGCCTCTAGGAGCCTACCTGAAAACTTCAGATTGGACTAGGGCTATCTGTGGTCCAGGGTCTGGAGTTTTCCCTGGCTTTTTCCCTCTAGTGACTGTGAACACTCCAGGCCCCTCCCAGGGTAGAGATGGTGGGATAGACACAAGCAGCCCACTGATGCACCCTTCCACGGGCTCCCAGTCTGACTAAATTGGAGCCAGACGCAGGGTCAACTTCAAGGCTATCTGAGAGCAGTTAAGTTAAGGTGGCTGGCAGGGGCTGCAGAGGAGGTGCTGGCAGGGTCACAGTCCCCCCAAAGGCTCCTGGAGAGGGTCTGTTCCATGCCCTTCTCATAGCTGTTTTCCCCACAGTTCTCAGTTTCTTGGCTGGCAGATGCATCACCCCAGTCTATGCCTCCATCTCTCCATGGCTGTCTTCCCTCTGTGTGTCGGTGTCCCAAGTTCCCTTGTCTTCCCCAGTGAAGGGCACCAGTCACTGGATGACAGCCCACCCTACTCTAGTATAGAATAGTATGACTTCAACCTTGATTACATCTGCAAAGTTTATAGGCACAGATACCATGGGTGATGATGTCCATATATTTTTTTGAGGGACACGATTGAATCCCTTAACAGCTGCCCTGAAATATGTGCCATTTGAGCTGAGTATTTAAGAAAGGGGATGACAAAGGAGAAGGTGCAGAGGAATGAAATAGATGTCAGGCTGTGGTGATACTTTGTTCCTATTTCCTCTCTGACAGAACCAGAAATGTCAGTGAGAAAATATGTTTTACTTGCCTGTGACATCCCCAAGTCAGGTGGATCCCTATTCCCTGGCACCATGTGCTTCAAATAGGCAGAATGGGGTCAGCAGCCAAGGGCTTTATGCTTTAATCATAAATGATGTCATTTTTGACAATGATGGTATCGCTATTATCATGAGAGGAGATGGGCAGAAATCAGAGATGCCCATGTGTACTCAGCCCCTCCCTGGCTTTTTCTCTCTGGTCACTGTGAGCACTCCAGGCCCCTCCCAGGGTAGAGATGGTGGGACAGACACAACCAGCCCTGACCCAGCCTTCCATGGGTTCCCAGTCTGACTAAATTGAATTCAGACACCAGGATCAACTTCAAGGCTAGCTGAGAGCTACCTGAGCTCACCCATAGTGGGATACTACCTTTCTCCCTGCTTTTACCCTGACCCCTCCAATCCCTGCTCCTCTTGAAAGCCCTGAGTGGCCTTTGCAAAGTGTCATCTTGGTCCTATCAATCCCCCTAACTCCCACTTCAAGGCCCTCTCATGCCTTCTGGTCTCAGCATTCAAGACCCCTGCCAGCCTCCAGCTACTCCTTCCATCTCCCTTCAGCTGGCCAGGGTTGGGCTAGACCTCCATGAAGCTTGTCTGGTACCCTTGGGGCTGGATTTGTCCTGGGGCCCACAGCACACTACTGTTCTCATGTGCTACTCCCCCACCTGACCCACTACTTGGCCCAGAATTTCATCAGGACAGGCCTGGGCTAACTGCTGTCTGTACCTACAGGGCCCAGGGGCAACCAGAGGATGGAGGGAGTAGCTACGATGGGACTTGGGCTGAGGCCTCATTCTGCGGACATGGGGAGGCCTGGTTTGGGGTGAAGGATACACCCCCCACAAAACTAGGGAGCTCCAGGTTTTCTCTAGCCTTGGTCATCACCATGGCCACACCCACTAGATGACAGGCCTTGTAGTAGGGCCACAGAACTTATTAGACTTAAGCATGGCTGGCAATGGAAGATCTCAAAGGGGCCCTTTGAAAGCTGAATCAGTGTGTCCTTCATGGGCTTCAATTCATAGGCACCTGGGCATTTGTCCTTACTCCTGAGTCTCCAAAATCCCTCTCACTGGCTGCTATCCCTAGCAGTCCCCATCAACCCAGGAGGCAAATCCCCCAGCTTTGCACATACCTACTTTGGGTGCTCCAGTGGGGTCACAGTCTGGGCTTGCTTGTACAAGTGGTTGGCAGCATCAAGACGGGGCAGCTGCGGGCAGGGGGCACATTGGGGCTGCTCCAAGGGAGGGAGGGCTCAGGTCAGGGGTGCAAGACTGGGGCTTACAGGCCAGTGGCCCAAGCTCAGCTATAGCGCCAAGAAGACTCAAGGCCACAGAGCAGAAAGGGGGGAGGGGCTATGGGTCTGTGTGTCCCAGTGCATTAGCCAGGGTGCTCTTGAGGGAGTATGTCCTTGGACACCCATCCCAGCTAGGGAGGGGGAAGGTTTTCTCACCAGCAACAACTGTCTGGGTCTCTCCTTTGACCCACAGCTCAATAAATGGGGAAATTGTCCGCCTGCAGATCGTGACACCCAGGGCGGGACTCCGCCTGGTGGCCCTGGACCTAGAAGGCATGAGGTATGGGGACCTTCTCACTCCTGGCTCCCTGAACACTTTTCTAGAGATGAGGGTAGCGGGGGCCAGGGGCTGAATTTGCCACCGTAGGGATTACAGGTTGGTGAGAGGCATGGCTGACCTGGGTTCTCTGCCCCTGTCTCATTCTTTCATTCAACAACTGTCATGACGTGAGTACGTGGTCTGTGCAAAGCCACAGGTCAGGTCCAGGGACCCAGTGGTGAGTGGGACCCCATTGGCTGGAGTTGAGCATAAGCTAGCTCAGGCCATGCCCTCTGGGAAGGCAGGACCGACCAGCTAGCCATGTTGGGGAGAATGGGGACTGTGGAGCAGTTCCCCTGCCTGTGTGAGGAGGCTGCTGGGAAGTGAGTAGGGTCACTGGGTCAGCCTGCACAGCTCTCCATGTGGCCCATGCTGGGGACAAGGAGAGATAGGAGGGCCTCCATAGGGTGCATGACAGGCTTAACCCCTGACCTAGGGTGCAGGGTGAACAGCCAGGTGCCAGGCAGGCAGGATGTGGGGGCTAGGGAGAGGGTCAGGGGAGATCTGTACAGGAGAGCTGGGTACTGGCTTTGTGATGCCCAGAGTACGGGGAGGGAGGCGAGGGTGTATGCTGGAGATCGTCTCTTAATCCCTAGAGGAGCGGGAGACCTGAGTGGGGGCCTTCTCACCACCATGGGCGTGGGGGTACTCAGGAAAGGCTTCTCAGAGGAAGTAACATCTGAGATGAGTTCTAGTAACCTCTAGGTCCCTTTACACTTCTCCATGGCTCCTCTGTCTCTAACTCTGCCCACTCCCCCAGGCAGGTACCAAGTCCTGTCTTTGTTATTCTAGAGATATCTCCAACCCTACTGCCCTGCTGTGGGTCCAGGCCTCCATTATCAGGTGTCCAGCCACTTGCCCCCATTCGCTCCTGCCCACCCCAAACTGTAGCCACACCAGCTCTCTGCAGAAAACCCTGCATCTCCCTCTGCCCTTTGCTCTGCAGCCTAGCTCAGGCCCTGGCTGCAGCCTGGGTTCCTTCCTCCCTTGTCCCACTGTCTGCGCCGGCTGTGCCCCCCCCCGGGGTGCCCTCTCTCTTTTGCATTGTGCAGTCTCCCCTCAAGTGTCCTCCTTTGGGGCACCTTCCTCTCCTGCATTTCTAGCTTTCTTTCCTTTCTTTTTTTGGGGACAGTTTCATTTCATCACCCTTGGTAGAGTGTCATAGAGTGTCACTCCAACTTTGGTAAAAGCAAAATGCTTTCTGTAAAGATTAGATAGATAGATAGATAGCTTCAGATGTTTCAGAGACCACTGAGAGGAGATGTTAAGTGAGCAACAGAACAGATAGGTGTGGAAATCTGGGGAGTGGTTCAGGATGAAGACTTTTTTTTTTTTTTTTTTGAGATAGAGTT